AGGCTGCTTGTTTCCTTCAATGAGAACGCAGAGGCATGCTAGTCCCAGTGGGGCAGAGCCCCACCCCCTGCTTCTGAGCCTACCCTACAACCCTCTGCCAGTTCTGGGCCCTGGGCAAGCTGGAGAAGGCCTCAGGGCACCACCTGCACAGCCTTTCCACATGTGACCGCCGTCGTGGGCGCACTGTGAACCTCACGCTTTGCCATTGATTTGATGCCGACTCAGGAGTGACGGCAACCCATCTTTCTTCCAGGGAGCAGCTGGCGATGAGCACAGGGCTGTCAGCACAGGGGCCCTCCTTTCCTGACAAGGTGGAGCACAGCAGCGCGGGTCATGCCCAGCCCTCTGCCAGTTCTACCTGCTGCTAGCATGCCCCTGCAAGAGGAGTGGGTTAGCTACCCATCAGCCGTGGGCACGGAGGGGCATGTCACCCAGAGAATGGCACCTGCTGCCTCTGTCATAGGATCCCTTCCCGGACGTCCTCCGGCAAGTGCTTTCTTCTCTCTACCCAGTCTGCCTCCTAAACAGGGCTGTCTGGGGTTGGGTGGAGTTCTGTGTAGAGGAGGTACGGGGAGGGGGCATGAGGTGGGGTGGGAGGTGGGGTACCCCTACCGATATGCCTCCTGGTAAGCTCCACGGCCGCATTCCTGTTGACGTTGGAGAGCAGTCCGAGGCAGAAGCGCTCGGAGTTGGAGGGGTCGGTAAAGCCGTCCACCGTCATGGACGGCTGCGAGGCGTGGAAGGTCTCCCCGACGCGCTGGTTCAGCTCGTAGTAGGAGATGGAGCACCAGAAGGCCGGCTCGCAGTAGGTAACTGGCTGCAGGTCTGCAGAGACAGGTCAGCCCATCACCCTGCACCTCAGAGGCTTCGAGAATGACTTCCCCTGACTTCCCTCATGGAGGGGATCCATAGCCCCCCACACGCCCATGCCTTTTATGGCAAAACTTGTGGGGGCCCACAGGACAAGGCACTCTAGGGCCTTCCATCAGCCTGCCCATTCTGTGCCTTTGTGTCGAGAGCCACCGATGTATTTGTAGCTCGTCCAGGTCCAGCCTGGCCTGCCCTGGCAAGGGTTGAAACCACTTGCAAAAGGCAAAACCTCCACGCCAGGGGACGCTGCCCTGCCCACACAGCCTCTCAGCAATCCTGGCTCACCATGTGCCAGACGAGTACTCAACTTCCAGGAGGGAGACC